CGATCGTTATTGGTTATGTTGATGTATCCTATATTTCAATATGATGCCCCAGGTGAGAGGTTTGCAATTGATGATGATAATAATGATGTGTACTGTTTTACTTTCATTTCATTCATATTTGGATGTCACTATCACACATATATATATTAACTTTGATTCTAATTTATCACATTGATTTTTTTTCTTCTAGTTTTCTATTTTCTTTTTATTTTCCTCTGTCATTTGGTGACAAGAATTTTTGATGTTACATTATTAAAATTAGAATCAAATGCATATGTTGTTGTTGTTGTTGAACATCCATTTATGTATGTACAGTGCTATCTCGATTATCGATAATTGATTATGGAATTTTTCATTCATGAATCGAAGTATCACTGTGTGTTGTGTTACAAATCGATTTTTATGCAATTTTTTTTTCTTTTCACCATATTTGCTTGCAGCATTTTACGATTATTATATGAATGAATCATAGTATCGTACATTGTCAATAATTTTCATCATCATCAAAAATAACTAGCAATCAATGCTGTATTTATACTTTTAAATTGCTATTTTTTTCTTGTTGTTTTAGTTTTGTTTACCAATATCGATAGTATCGATGTATCGTTCCACATCATGTGTCTATAATTGTTTTTATTATTAGTTTCAATTTAAAGAATTTCATTTTTTATATAATAATATGAATGTATCAGAATTCACACGTTGAATGAATTTTAAACTCAAACTTCAAACAATTTGCCAACAATTTTGATGATGATTTATTCGTTTTGTTTTTTTTATCTGTTCCTGTTATTTGTTCTATTTTAATGGAATTCATTTCGTTTCATGTTAGATGTTTGGATGCTGGTATTTATTGATAATAACAACAAAATAACGATAATAATAAAAGACAATGACAATGAATCAACAACAATAACAAATGACAATGAATTTGATATTGATTTATAATCACGTGATATTTTTTTGTTGTTGTTGTTGTTGTGAAGAAGAAGAAGTATCCAATTGATATGAATCTTCATTTTGTGTGTTTGTTACCATTCATTGTAAATACTGTCGATTTGTCTACTTTTTTTCACGTATTTTACTTGAAACTGTTGTTGTTGTTGTTGTTGAATTTATTTTTCATTTTTTTTTCTACTATTTTGGAGAATTGAAATGCCTGATGCCACAGTTATTCCATTTTTGTTCAATCAATTCGTTATTGTTTTTGTTGTTGTTTAGAATGTTTGAAAATTGTAGATGGTGGTAGAGAGGGTGTTTGCAGAAAAAAAAAAAAAGAAAAAATAAATAAAATGAAAAAATAGAAAAACAAAACAAAACAAACGAACCAAACTATGGTGAACAAAAAAAATTTCTCAACCAAACCAAAAAGATTGGTATAAAAAACGACGAGAATGAAGAGAATGTATTTTTGCTCTTCTTTCTTTTCTATTCTTTCAAAGAATTTTTTTTTGATGCTTTATCTTAATTTGATCCTGGAATTTAAACGAACGAACGAACGAACATCGATGAGCAATGAAAAACGGTCTATCTTCGATTTTACTTTCATTGGCTTTTTTTTTATTTCACTGTTTTGGGCTGTTTGTCTTAGTATTTTTTCTCATTCTCTTATACACAAGTTGCCCATTTATCAATTCTTTGAAATTTCCAATGAAAATCGAGTGTCGAAAGCGAATTTTATTTTTATTTTGGCTTTTTTTCATCTTTTTCTACTTTTTTTGTCGCTTATTATTTGGCCGTTTGTTCGTTCATCGATTGGTTGTGTTCTATTTTCCAATGTGAAAAATATTCTCTAAGACTGTTATTTCGTTTTTCAAAGTTATCATTGGGTAAAAAAAAATTGGCGAGAAATTTTAGCTTTTTTTTCGTTTGTTTGTTATTATGTAATGAGGGATATCTTTTCTCCATTCGTAATAATTTGATTTAAGATCAACACACAAATGAATACAAAACATTTTTAACCATTTAGAATTTCATTCATTTATTTGTTTGTTTTAAAAATCGAGAATCAAATCTCAGTAACAAAACTTTGATGAATAAACATTCCTTCCAATTCATGTTGGAATGAAATGAAAAGAAAAAAGAAAAATCAAAATTGACAACAGGAGAAATTCAAGTTGAAAAATATATTTCAAATACTTCTGGCTGTCTGGGCTACTGTGTAAAAAAAAATATAAACTTTTAAATCGATTTTTTTTACTTGGCTCAACGTTTCCTGCCACACACAAATCGAGAAAGACCAATAATAATAACAACAACAACAACAATGAAGAAATGACAACAAAACGAAAGAATCCAACTTTGTTAAAAGATTGCAGTGTGCGTGTTTTTTTTCTGTATTCTCTGTCGTTTTTTTTTCATAAAAAACGAAAAATTCCAATTTGATTCTTCGATATTTTATCCATTCATCCATTCCCTTTCGTTTCGTTTCATTTTAGTTTTGTGTATTATTTGAACAAAAAAAAAAGTTTCTCGAATATTCCATATTAGAACGTGAATCCGTTTTTTTTTTACTCTCAATCTCTCTCTCTCTGTGCTTTTTTTTCTCATTATTTTTTCTTCTTCGTTTCTAATTCAATCCAATCTTTTCAATGGACAATTTTTGATTTACTTTCTTTTGTAGTTGGAATTTTTCCATCTATATATATGTTTGTATGTATTATTCTGGTCATCATATGAATAAAATTGAATCGAAATGAATGTATATTTGAATTATTTTGGATCGATATCATCTTACATTGACAACAGTGCATAGATGATGTCATTTTTTTACACACACACACACGAAAAACTAGCTCATGCAGAATGTCCATTCATGATCTGTTTATTTGCTAAATTTCATTTTCATTTCATAGAATAACAAACGAATTTCTATAGAGAGAACAGAACAGAATTCAAATGTAAACTTGAAGTATTTTCTCTATATTTGCATAATAGTGTAAACGTTATGGAAATATATATAATTAACACATTTAATTGAAAATTATTCTTCTTGCCACATTATTTGGATTAATTCTTTTTCATTTGTCGTCTACAACCAGTCGATTCGAAATAATCTCATCTCATAGTAATTTTAATAATTTTTTTTAGCTGGCAACATTGACATTTTCGATCCATGAGATTATCGGTTGAATACCGGGCTTGTGAATACACGCACACACTAATTTACAAAGTTAAAGATAAAAAAAAATAAAAAGGGATGGACATTTTTTCCAACAAAAAATTCAAGATATCAACTGACCTTGACAACTTAAAAACACACACACACACACACATCAACCTAGTAACAAACAAACAAAACAAAAAAACTGGCAGCTGCCCATCATCATTATCATTATCTTTATTATTATATCAACAACAAATGATATAGTTGATGATAATTTCATTCCTTCTCATTAGAGATTCTCTTGGTTGAGAGAAAAAAAATTCCACTCAACTAGTCAATTTGATATTCATATGACCACACTCTAATACTAATATATACTACGTTCAATAACAACAAAAGAAATACCGGGAACGGGTACCGTGTGTGTGTGTCTGTGTATATTGGATTCAAGATGAACTAAGTCAGTTTTGTTTTCCATTTTCAATATAAAACACACACACACACACAAGTGCATTGCCATACATTTTATATTTTAATCAATAGTTATTGAAAAGTTTGTTTTTTATATTTCATTTTTTTTCTCTTCTTTGAATCACAGAATAATATGAACCAGATTTGATAAAAATGAAAGAAAAAAAAAGAACATAACTTTGTATATGACAATATGGTGTTTGTATATGAGAAAAAAAAATTCACCAATAACTCTGGGCTTGCCCATTTATTTTTTTTTTTTTTTTTTGCCACAATTGTGATTCAGAACCACCAACACCACTTTTTTTTATTTCAAGTACAAAAATTCTGTATAATGATATCATGAAATCAGAAAAAAAATTCCAGTTACTATTCGTCCATGATCATGAAATCTTGATTCACCTTGAAATATAGGATAGATAAATGAGTAATAGCCGGAGATTCTACACACACACACATATCCGGAATAATTCAATTGAATTGAATTGTGTGTGTGTGTGCGTCCGACCCAATCAAAATAAAAAGAACGATAAAGAATTCTCAATCACAATAAGACATTATTTATATTCTATGGTTCAATGTTTTAATTTAAATAACGATGGCAGGAAAAAAAAAGTTTTTTTCTTTTTTCTCTTCTCTTTCTTTTTTTTCGTATGTGATGAGAGATCCTAACTACTACTACTGCTACTATTATCATACCGAGTAATGAAAGTTCAAAGAAAATGAAATCGAAACCGATCGCCGATATACAATGTGTACTCTTATTCATGAATTCAGTTTGTTGATGATGATGATGATGATGATAGAGACGATAACTATGCGAAATTCGGAATCTTTCTTTCTTCATTACTATGTCACATACTCACACACACACACACACACACACACACACACACATTGTAAACACTTATATACATTTTTATTGCTTTTGTACACACACACACGACATATTTGTGAACAAAAATTCTATGTTTAAGAAATAGAAATAGAAATGAAAATGAAAACGAAAACGAAAAAAAAGAGTTTTAGGCACCGATTCCAGATGTTACGTGTTTGGAATTTATGAAATTGATTGAAATGTATAGTCTAGGCTATGATAACAATAACAACAACAACGGTCATATGATGATGGCTGAATTTTTTTTTCTTTCGGTTTTATCTCTGTACGATGAATAAGAAAAGAAGAGAAAAATTTTCCAGAATTGCCGTTATTCACAACAGTGAATCTTTGATTCGTATTTTTTTTTAATATTATTATTTGGTCAAAGTGTAGTATTTTTCATAATTTTATTTCATTTTTTTTTCACTGATTTTGATTTTATAAAATTTTCACCGGTTTAATAAAAATCAAAAACGATTTTGTATTCATGATGATTTATCTCACTCATATTCTTTTTTTTTTTGTTTGCATTTTTCGTTGTAGATACATTGATGGACAGATAATGAAAAGTTTACCCGCTGTTTATGAGCTAACATTACATCATAATCCATGGCATTGTGATTGTGGCCTACGAACATTTCGTAAATGGATGATTGAACATCGTATACCATTATCGTATTCACCTAATTGTACATTACCGGAACGTTTATTTGGTAAAAGTTGGAATCAATTGGAATTGGATGAATTTGCCTGTCCACCGATTGTTGTTTCAATCGATACCGAAGTTGTTGTTTATGAAGGTAGGTCAAAAAAATTTTTTCTTTCAAAATGACAACCAAAAGTTGATGAACGGGAAATTCTGTAGCAAGAAATTTGCCAAAAAAAAAAAATTAATTTCTTTATTCACCCCATTGATGTTGTTATTATTATTGTTATATTCATGCTAGAATACTGTAATAATGATGATGATGATGATTAATTCTTTCATCAAAATTGATGAAAATCTAATTTCTAATCATAATAAGGTATTTATAACTTTTTATTTGTGTTCTTTTTTTTTTTGTTGGATGAAAAGTTTTCTTTCTTTCCCCTTTTTGCCATCATTCTAAGAATATTTCATATATATATAGAAAAGATTTATGTTGCCATCATTCTAAGAATATTTCATATATATATAGAAAAGATTTATGTTGCTCGTTATCGTTTTTTCCTTTCGTTATTGCTTTTTTTTCTATGCTGTTTAATGAATGAATGTTGGTTGTAGTTGAAACTTAAATAAGTTATTAAGTTTTTTTTTCAATTTTCTTAATTTTCCTTTCTCACTATCTGCATTCTGTGTTGATGTTTATAGTGGATGGGCCAAATTTTTCGTTATTTTTTTTTGGCTCGTCTCACTAAAAGCAACCATACCAATCATCAACGATAACAGTATCAATAATCTAATGATGACAAGTAATCTATATTGGACAAGAATTTTATTGATTCATTTTTTCAATTAATCGTCTAAATATAATGAAATAAAATGGGAATCGATGTGTGTATGTGTGTGTGTGCTAAAATTCTCATTGACATTTTGAAAAATTCTCTTCACAAACATCCGATGAAAAGAAAAGAAAAAATTAAGTTTGAATCAAATGATTGATTATTATTTTTCTTTTTTTTCCTTCATACACACACACACACACACACACATAGACACAGAGAGGAAATTTATTTTTCGTGTGATAAAATAAATTGGATATAAAAAAAAAATTTTTTATCCAAAATTGAATACATGGATGAATGATTTTATTCAACAGAATCGCAAATTCATTGTTGTTATTTGTAATTACATCATTAATAAATATATATATTATGACTGCTACTTATTGGATTGATTGATGAATGAATGAATGAAAAAAAATGAATCAAGAATCAATGAATGAATTTTGTGCTCATTTTATTTCCAGTTATTAAGTCCTTCACCATAATAATAATAATAATGATGATGATGATGATGATGATAAGTATTATATGGGATATTTGCAACACAACGAAAAAAAAACCGAGTTTGCATCACTGCCTAACCTAATTAATTGATTTGAATTTATTTTTATTATTGTTTTATTTTTGGGAAAAAAATCTACTAAATCTTAATAAGTGTGTGTGTGTGTGTGGTTATGATTCTTCACATCATCATCATCATCATCACCATAATCGTCATAATGTTAATGGCTGATGATAATAATGATGATGAAATTATCAATCTTTTTTTTTTGTTTCTCGTTTTTTTTTTTTTTTTTCTGCCTGAATATATGAAAATAAATTAATGAATGTGGAAAAAAAATGAACAATGAAAACAATTTTCATTTTTTATGCATAAAATTTTTTTTTTTTCATTCATTTTATTTACCAGGAAGAACGAGAGAGAGGGAAAAAAGTCAAATAATTTACAGTTGATATATATTGTGGTACAACTGCAGAAAAAAAAAGAATCTGCCACTGGAAATTTGAAAATTATTGTCATTATCAACCACGCAATCATTATCATCATCATCATCATCATCATCATTATTTTTGATGATTATTAATAATCATCAAAAAACATAAATAAATTACCTTAACTAAAGTGTAGCTACTGGTTTGGTTTATATAATGATGATGCTCAACAAAATCGACAAAAATTTTTCCATTTCTCATTTCAATTTTATTTATTCATTTGCACCAAACAAAATAAAACAAAAAAATGAATTCAATGATTCATTAATATGGACTTCTATATAATGGCGAAAAAAAAAGTTTCATGAATGCTGAATCGAAAACGCGAATGAATGAAAACTTTTCTTAGCAACTACTACTACTACTATCTGAACTGAAGATAGAAAAAAAAGTTTCAAACATTCAAACCGGACTGTGATTTTTTGACTTTCTTCCATTGTGTATGGGTTTTTTCTTATTTTTGATTTATCACAACAAAAAAAAAAGATGATCTACGACAACAACAACAACAAAAGAATTGAATTGAATTTTGAATCAAAAAAAAAAAAAAAAAAAAAAAGACAAGCAAAGACAGACCAAACCGACAACAAACTCATATATATGTCGTCTCTGATGATAATGATAATTCAATTTGAGAATGATGAAATTTTTTTTTTTTTTATTTCCTTTTGTGTATTTTCAATTCGTTGCAACAATCATTTTTTTTTTGTTCGTTTATTATTGTTTAGCTTTGATTTCAATACTAGATGATGATGGTGGTGATTTGCTTTTGATGTTCTCTTTGTTATTATTATTATTGCCGATGTTGTTGTTGTTGTTGTTGTCGTTGTTGTTGTTTGCGGTTGTTGTAATCATTATCATTGTGTGACCATTCTTTTACGATCAAGAATAAGAATCGAGAATAAATATCAAGAACAACAACAACAACAGCGAAAAAAAAATCCGATTGTCATTTTATAACACAGCCAAGTCGACATTATATTCAGTCAATCATTCTGAATAAGAAACATAGTTGCAACCAATTGTTCCCAAACATACACACACAAAGACACATTTGGAATGTTTCAAATTGAATGGAACCCTAACATTCGTTATTTCTTTGTTTCCATGTTTTTTTTTATATATATTAACGCTTGAGTTGTTTCTTTTCTTTTTTTTGCTCGATTTGTATATGGAGAGGTACATTTTTTTTTTTTGAATTCAATTGGACATCATCATCATTTCATTCACTCATTCGTTCATTCATCCACCCACAAGTTCCTAAGTTACATAACATCATCACACATTGACCAACATAATCATCATCAACAACAACAACAAACTTCCAAACGACAATCATCATCATCAGAATTTTGTTTTTCTGTTTATGTGTAGCATCAAGCTAGGAATGACTATCCTTCATTGACTTTTGATTGTTTGGGTTGTATAATGTGTGTAATATAACTTTTTGTTGTTGTTGTTGTTGTTGTTGTTATTGTTGGCTCATTTTCATCATCAATTAGTTGAATTATATATGTTGTTATTGTTATTATTATGTTGTGGTATACCAAAGTTTCATCGAGTTTTTTTTCTCTTTTCATAAAGATGATAATTTGTGTCTGTGGAACACTTGTTTAAATGTCGTCATTGTCATCATCATTGGTCGTGTTTCACCAAGCCCTTTTTTTTCTTGCTTATTTTGTTGTCGTTGTCACTGTTGTTCCAAATCGGAACAATCCAACAAACAGTCAAAATAATAAAAATTACACAAACCTAGTACCTGGATATACATGTATTGGATGTATGGAACCTATCAATTTACCTTAATTAGCTCTCAAAGGTCGTTACAACATTGTTGTTTTCACTAGAATCGTTGTTGCTTCTTTTGATAATGACATAGGGTTCCATTATATATGATTACAATTTTGTTTGCTCATCCATTTTTTCTTGGCTCTTTTTTTCCATGTTTCGATCAAACTTTTTGTTTTCATTTCAACATTTGTCATTCTGTGTGTTTCTTGTGTGATTGATTTGTGCATTGTTGTTGTTGTTGTCCCATAAGACAACAGAAAAAAACATTTAATTCCAAATAAGTTCCAAATTATTATGAATCTGTGCAATCATGATTTTTTTTTGATTTACAGAGAAATAATGATCCAACAAACAAACAAGAGAAACTCTATTTCATTTTTTTTCATCATCGTTTTGCATGAGATAGTTTACCGGTAAATCCATGAAATAACTACAATGATCATTTTGTTGTTGTTGTTTTTGCTGCTGTTGACTTCATTTGCAAGGAATCGCCTAAAAATATATTCAAAAAAATGAAGAAAAATTCGAATATGAATGCAATTCAATCTGAATCCCGAATATAAATAACCATAGAACCAAAAAAAAAAAAAAAGATTTAAAATCGATTTTCCATCTGAATATTCCGTGTTGTTATTTTTTTTTTTTTTTGTTTTTGTATTCAGGCTGTATCGATGTCATCGATATACAGAGTATATTCGACTATCATCAATCTAAATTTTCTTGGCAGCAGCAACAATATCCACAACATACGCACAGCTTGCAATCGTATGCTATGTGTTTTCTATTCATGAATTTTGTTGTTGTTGTCGTTGCTTGTTTTTTTTTTTTTTTTTGATTCTCATCTCCTATTTACTGAAAACATCACCAATATATCTGCTTTCATTTTTGCTTTGGTACACACATATTCATCTACATTTATTACAAAAATGATTGGATTTGACCATCATGATCAATGCATCACTTTTTTTTCCTGTTATTATTAAAGTTGTTGACTACCTTTATTTTATATACCAACCACCAAAATACTCACTAAACAACATCATATTGGAGGAAAAAAGTTTGTTCGGGAAGAAAATCATGTTGTATGATGTTTGTTATGCCATGATGTTGTCGTTGTTGTTGTTCAGTTATTTTTTTTTCATTCTTAGTTTACAATTTTATTTTATTTAGATTAATCGATAAGGGAAAGCTGACCGAACCTAGCTGCTGCTACTTTTTTTTTTTTTTGTTTGGTTCGTGTTTTTTCTTGTTTCATCAATTGGTTTCATCATATCTATTCTCTATTTTCCTCTGGTCTTTGATGATTGTCTTGATTTTTTTTATGTTATCTGGATCATATATATGCACCAAAATTCTAATAAATTTTTTTTCTATTATTATTCATTCAGAATCTATTATCATATGAACAACGATGATGATTTTTTTCTACTGCTTGCTTGAATAGTTTTTTTTTCATTTGGATCACTTGGAATTTAAGCCAATTATATATCATATACACATATGCTTCTTTCTTGGAAGTGTGTGCTTGTGG